TGGCTCGCCTGGCCTGGAAGGTGCTCGCTACAGGCTGGCCAGGGCACCCAGTTGTCTCAGGCAGCCGCAGGGTGAGGCGCCCAGTCAGCGCAGGCGCTCCTGCCACGTTGGCTTCCAGCACCCTCAGCGACCGCATCGCAGAAGGAAGCGTCCAGATAGGCTGGGGGAAGGTTCCGGAGCCTGAGTAAAGTTTGGTCAAGCTTGGGGCCAGCAGGTGGTGTGGAGGTTAAAGCGCTAGACTCCCACATGGCTGGCTGCAGTTTGGGTCCCAGACCCAGCGGCTTGGACATTATGCAGGGTGTCTGTGCACGTGTGCCCCAACCCCCGAGTGGAGAATGAAGAAGGGACTGTGGCATGGCCATCCCCCTGGGGGGAGATTTCTCACGTCCCCTTCTCTCTCTCTCTCTCTCTCTCTCTCTTTTTCTCTCTGGCGCTAGCACACACCCTATGGGAAAGAAGAGTCGGGCCAAGAACCGAGTGAGAGCGACCAGGCTCACGGAGCCTCCGTGTCCTCGTCCTCAGGGCTTCCTGTTCAACCTGGTGGGACGCCACAACTGGCAGAGGCTGGCTGGTTCCCACCTCGCTGAGAGACGTGGTCACGGAGGTGAAGCGCAGAGGAGAGCTGGGAGGAGAGGGCTCTTGGCCCCCGTCTCTGGGGTGAGTGCCGTCAGGGGTCAGCACCGAGGCCTTCAGGACAGCGGTGGCCCAGGGCAGCAGGGGTGAGGGGGCAGGCCTGGCTGGGGCTGGCTGGCGGGACGTGCCCCCCTCCGTGACAGGCTGTTCACTGAGCTGGCGCTGTCTGCGTCCTCATTTGCGCCAGAGCGTGTCTGAGTCACGTCTCTGAACACCAGGGCATCCTTGGGGCAGCAGGGAGTGGGGGCCGGCCCTCGGCTTTCTACGGCAAAGTCCCTGCTCTACCTGGGTCTCAGGAGAACCGGCACCCTGGAGGGGCCAAGCGCGAGCTCCGTGTTCTGACGCGGGACGCGCGGGCAGACTGCCCTCCCTGTGCATGGGAGGCCCCGACGCCCAGCCCTCTCTCGCTCCAGACACGTCGATGCTGGTCAGTGATGGAAGGTCACTCAGCAGTCGCCGAGAACAAAGATCAATGGCCTTGTTAGTGAGTCACTGTGGACCTAAACGCTTCCCGCACAGTGGTGACCCATTTTCCTTGTAAAACGTGTGGTTCTAGTATCATGAAATGTCCACTTTTCTTCTCTTTTTAAAGGGTTCTTTCTTTCTCCCATGAGTGAGAGAGAGACAGAGAGACCACCTCCCACGGGGCCTGGAGCTATGACCTCAGCCCGCCTGGCTGGGGGTGCACAGGTGCCCTGTGGCTTGGAGGCCGCCCGGTACAGACCCAGACCCTGTCCCTGGGGCTCCCAGGAAGGTGGGCGGGGGGCTTTTTTTTTTTTTTTAAGAATTATTTTATTTCATTTATTGTCATCACTATTATTTGTTTAATTTGACCAGAGACAGAGAGAAGGAGTGTAGGAAAGGGGGGCTCCAGGTCCAGGACTCAAACCGCTGTCAGCCACGTGGGAGTCCACCTTAACCACCACGCCACTTGCTGGCCTGTAGCCACCTCCTGGATGTCCTTTCCAACCCGGAGGAAGCCGCTGGTTACTGCCACCAGCAGGGGAAGGGGTCACCTCTCCCTCTGCCCCACTGTGACGCCATTGCTGCTCGATCTCACTCTGATGGAACCCTCTGTGGCCAGAACGAGTGAGGACGGAAAGGCCCTGCCCGCACCCGGGCCTCCGTCCAGCCCAGACACAGACCCGGGTTCTGGAGCTGCCTCCGCACGGGGCTCTGGGTGCCCGATGCCGCGGTGAGTCCCAGACTCTGATTGACAGCATGTGCAGGCCAGCTGTGCGCAGCTGGGGAGGGGCGTGCACTGGACGCAGTTCCCACCGCGCGCGGCCGGCCTCACTCCACTGCCCTCGACCCTGAAGGGGGTGCGAGCCACCCAGCAGAACGGCAGGAGCGCCGTGCGCACCGCCCTCCAGGGCCTGCCGAGGTTCCGCGCGCTGCCAGGAGCTGCTGGCGGGTCGCGGGGGGCAGAAGGGGCCGCGCCGAACCGGGGA